AGAATACACTTGGTAGGTTTTTCTCAGATTGGCCACGGAGGCAGCTTTAACAACCTCCCTCCTAGGATAACATCTGTATGGAGCCCTAGGCGTTCCCCGGTCTCTTGGTTTGGGCAGTCTAACATCACGATCCTCTTTTCCCTCAGTGCTCCGACTCTTTGTGGCCTCTGATGGGCCTTCTGCCTCTCTCTTTTTCCACCTGAGCCCTCCTGGTGGCCCAGTCACCCGAACTTTAGGGCTTGGTGCTGCTAGTTTAACCTGGGGTGCCTCTTCCTTAACTGGTCGGGTCAGCTCCCTAGCTGTCCTTCGCCTCTCTACCAGGGCAACAACCTCGTCATAGGTGGAGGGTTCGTTCTGGCTTACCCAGGCATGAAGGTCTGGTGGTAGTCCCCTCATGTATCGGTCGATGACCAGAACTGCTAGTATCTCTTCCGGACTCCGGGACTCTGTTTGCAACCACTTTCATGCGAGATGGATGAGGTCATACAATTGGGACCGCGGGGTTTTGTCTTCCTGGTACCTCCAACCGTGATACTGCTGGGCCCGCACTGCTGTCGTTACCCCAGATCTGGCCAGGATCTCTGCTTTCAGCTGGGGCTTCTTCAGGCAGCCTCTTCAGGCAGATCATGGTAGGCCTTCTGGGCCTCCCCACACAGGAATGGGGCAAGGATGCCAGACCACTGATCTCGAGGCCAGGCCTCCCGTAGGGCTGTCCTCTCAAAGGCCAGAAGGTATGCCTCTACATCATCCTCCCGTGTCATTTTCTGCAGCCAATGGCTGGCCCGTATGAGCCGCATCCCATCATGGCTGCGATTCAGCTCTGTAAGGGACTTTACCTGGTTTACCAGTTCCCGCAACATAGCTCGGTCTTGAGCAGCCTGGTCCATCAGCAGGCGATTAGTCTCTTGCTGCAGCTGCACTGCCTCCTGTTGGGCGGCTGCCTGGACACGGGTAGCCTCCTGCTGGGCTGCCGTAGCTTGTATCAGTGCCCGCGCTACGTCATCCATTGTGGTGAAAAAAATAAACCCTCTCCTTTTTTTTTTTTTAATCACCCTCCTTCTTCCGCCGCGCTGCGCACCCCAAGATCCCATCCCTGACAGCAGTGTGACAAAGTTCCTCCTCTATCTTGGTGGGTCCTGCGCTTATTGGCGGATTTTCTTGCCTCAGAGATTCACCATGTGGGTTGGAGAACAGCCCAGAGACCTTCCCCTCTGGAAGAACCCACAGTCTAGGTCAATTGGGAGGTTTGGGGGAAACCCGGGCTTGCCCTCTACTCCGGGTACCTCCGACCGTGATACTGCTGGGCCCGCACTGGGTCTGTCACACCAGACATAGAGAATTACAGTAGTTAAGCCTAGAAGTTACAAAAGGGTGGATCACAATCTGATGGGATAGGGCAAATCATCTGGCCAGCTGCAGATGGAAGCTGATGTTTTTTGCCACTGTGGCTATTTGGGTATCTAGGTGCCATGCAGAGTCTGAGAGGATCCCAAGGCTACAGACCAGATTAACAATCCAGGGGAAGATACTTTTAGTGTGTGGGGTTGTTATAAAGGAGGAAAGTTCTTCAAAGCCCTTAATGTAAAAGTTCAGTTTGCTGAATAGCCACTGATTATTACAACTTCTAAAAGAGTTCAGTGTATGGGGAGAAATGGTCTCTGCTCCAAAGAGCACACAAGGTAGTTAAAAACAAGATTGAACAAGTGATGTGACAGACGATAGAAGAGAGGATGCAATGGAGTCAGGTGGTTTGCAATGTGGCAACGTGAATAAGTAGAATATTCCAAACCATATTCATTACTTTTTAAAGATCCTCTACTTTTTTCTGTTCTTAAGTGGCCTCTGTTTGTTTTTTAAAGTTCTTAAACCTCTTGCTGTTTCTGGTTATTATAATATATAATAATAGAGGAAATGTTAATACACCCCCCTCCATGGGCATGTTGGGCAGCAGCTGAATATAGGGGCCCTTGTGGTTCCACTTTGTGAGGTGGAGGAAGGCAGAATTCAAGGAGCTGTGAACTATGGCAGATTAAATTCAGTGTAGATAAATGCAAAGTAATACATATTGGGAAAAATAATCCCACCTATACGTACAAAATGGTGGGGTCTAAATTAGCTGTCTCTCAAGAAAGAGATCTTGACAGCATCATGAATAGTTCTCTGAAAACAATGTGAAGCAGCAGTAAAAAAATCTAACCAAATGTTAGAAACCATTAGGAAACATAATAAAACAGAAAATATCATAATGCCACTATATAAATTCATATTATACCCACAGGTTGAATACTGTGTGCAGTTCTGGATACCCCAACTCCAGAATGATATAATTGGAAAAGGTGCTGAGAAACAATTAAGGGTATGGGAGCTGCGGGAAGCGGTACAGGCTGGGCCACCGCTTCCCGCAGCTCTTATTGGCTTGGAATGGTGAACTGCAGCCACTGGGAGCTGCGAGTGGCCATACCTGTGGAAGCTCAGGTAAACAAAGTGTCTTGCGGCCCGCCAGGGGCTTACCCTGAACAAGCCGCGAACCAAGTTTGGGAACCAATGGACTATATTGACATAGATTCGAAGGCCAGAAGGGACCCTTCTGATCATTTAGTCTGACCTACTACATAAGAATAAGAACGTAAGAATGCCCATACTGGGTCAGACCAATTGTATGTCTAGGCCACTATTCCATCTTCTGACAGTGGCCAATGTCAGGTGTTTCAAAGAGAGTGAAAAGAAAAGGGCAATTATCAAGTGATCCATTCCTTTTTGTCCAGTCAGAGGTTTAGGGTACCATGAGCATGGAATAGCATCCCTGATCATCTTGACTAATTGCCATTAATGGACCTATCCTCCATGAACTAATCTAATTCTTTTTTGAACCCCATTGCATAACACAAGCCATAGAATTTACCCTAAATAATTCCTATTTGAACTATAGGAGGTCTTTTAGAAAAACATCTAATCTTTGATTTAAAAATTGCCAGTGATGGAGAATCTACCACAACCTTGGGTAGATTGTTCCAGTGATTAATTACCCTCACTGTTAAAAATGTACACCTTATTTCCAGTCTGAATTTGTCTAGTTTCAAGTTGCAGCTATTGGATCTTATTATATCTTTCTTTGATTAATCAGCCCATTATCAAATATTTGTTCCATATGTAGGTAATTATAGACTGTGATCTAGTCACACCTTGACCTTCTAACATTATAATGAGCTGTTTGCTCCAGCTGCTAGACTAAAACAGGGATGCTGCCCACCCCATCAGCATCCAGCCAGACTGGTAAGTGACTTCGGAATTTATGAGGAAAGCAGTATTACCATAAAGAGTGCCCGGGGGGGCAGAGCTAGAGATAAGCTTTCAGAATTACCTGACTTTTGAGCCCTTGATTTCTCACCTTCCTGTTCAATTGCAAGGTAGTTTTTTTCCCCAGGGATATTAACAAACCTTTCACCTTGTTTAGATCTTCGACTGTCCACGGCTAAAATTTTCCGAAATTCCTCAGAGACTCACTAATCTGCTGCTGCCTCCAGACCCCATAGTTATAAACCACATCATCAGGTAAGTGTGCCAGCCAGCCCAGCACTTCCTGAATTTCCCACCGCAAAGGAAGTATGAACCATTTCCCTCTTTGCCCCACAGATGCTGTTGCTAACCAGTCCTCCATTTTCTGTCGAACCCTGATAGATTATTTTTATCTGGGATACTTCCACAGACCCCATTATTCTAGTATCTGGGTGCCTCAAGAACTTTCATGTATTTATTCTCACAACCCCCTCCCTTCCCTTAGGAAATGTTGTTATCCCCATATTACAGATGGGAAGTTGAAGTACAGAAAGACTAAGTGTTTTTCCCAAAGTCAAAGAAGATGTAAGTAGTGGAGCAGGGAGTTGAATATGTCTCTCACTAGTCCTTGGCTAGCACCCTAAACACTGGACCATCTGTTCTTTCTAAAAAGGTACCTTTTTATCCCCTGCAACACATCCTGCTGGAATACTGAGCTTTCCCCAAAGCCAGCACTCCTGGAAAGAGACTGGAGTATCTGGGAGCTCCCATCCTGCCCTGCTCCCTACAGTGCCTCCTACTAGGAGATGCTGGGACTGTAGCATCTGTGAGTGCCACAGAAGAAGCTCTGTTATGCCCATTCCTTCCTAGTTAGGTCTAGAAGAAGTCTCAGCAGATTCTGCTAAAAACATGGACCCAAATGGGCCTAACACTTAGAGTGGAATTCAAGGTTCTGTTATCTTCTCCATAGTGTTGACCCCAATGACCAGAAAAAGACAGCGTGTTATGACATCGATGTGGAAGTTGAAGATCCTTTAAAAGGACAAATGAGTAGCTTTCTCCTCTCAACAGCCAATCAGCAGGAGATCACAGCACTGGACAACAAGGTACTGGCACAAGAGTGAAGGATTTAAAGTATCATGGAGCATGGTATATGTGAATATGCAGTATGAGGGGCATGGAGTCACATGCTACACTCTATGAGAATGCAGTCTGAGCTGGGTACGTTGTCACAGGGCATGCTCTATGGGAATGGATATTCATAGATTTTTAAGGCCAGAAGGGACTGTTAGATTATCTAGTGTGACAGACCCAGACCAGTGGGGTACAGGAGTCTGGTAGAGGGCAAATATATTGGTCACTGGATGAGTAGTTTTCTGTTCCCTGAGTGACCAGAGCAGGGGTTGCACGAGAGTAATCAGGAACCTGCTAGAACCAGTTAAGGCAGGCAGGCTAATTAGAGCCAATTAAGAAGAATTGGAGCCAATTAAGAAGAAGCTGCTAGAATCAATTAAGGCAGCCTAATCAGGGCACCTGGGTTTTAAAAAGGAGCTCACGTCAGTTTGTGGTGTGAGTGTGAGGAGCTGGGAGCAAGAGGCGCAAGGAACTGAGAGTGAGAGGGTGTGCTGCTGGAGGACTGAGGAGCACAAGCGTTATCAGACACCAGGAGGAAGGTCCTGTGGTGAGAATAAGGAAGGTGTTTGGAGGAGGCCATGGGGAAGTAGCCCAGGGAGTTGTAGCTGTCATGCAGCTATTACAGGAGGGACTATAGACAGCTGCAGTCCACAGGGCCCTGGGCTGGAACCCGGAGTAGTGGGCGAGTCTGGGTTCCCCACAAACCTCCCAATTGACCTGGACTTTAGGTTCTTCCAGAGGGGAAGGTCTCTGGGCTGGTCCCCAACCCACATGGTGAATCTCTGAGGCAAGAAAATCCGCCAATAAGCGCAGGACCCACCAAGATAGAGGAGGAACTTTGTCACGCTAGTTTGACTTCCTCTTTAACGCGGGCCATAGAATTTCACCCAGTTACCTTTATATGGAGCCCAATAATGTGTGTTTGACTGAAAAATACCTTCTAGAAAGGCATCTCATCTTGATTTAAAGACATCAAGAGATAGAGAATCCACCACTTCCCTTGCTGGTTTGTTACAATAGTTAATAACTCTCCCTATGAAAAATTTGAGCCTTATTTCTAATTTGATTTTGTCTGGCTTTAACTTCCAGCCATTCATTCTTGTTCTGCTTTCTGCACTAGACTAAAAAGCTCCTTACTACCTGGTATTGTCTCGCCATGAAGGTACTCATATCATAATGAAGTCAACTTTTGATCTTCTTTTTAATAAGATAAACAGATTGAGCTCTTTAAATCTCTCATGTAAAGCGTTTTTTTTTCCAGTCCTCAAATCATTTTTGTGGCTCTTTTCTGTACCCTCTCCAATTTTATATCTTTTTTAAAATGTGGATACCAGAACTGGATAAAGTAATCACCTCCTGTAGCAGTGAGACTCACCAGCGTGGTGCCTCCTGCTGGTGATCCTGGGAATTAGCTCGACTTCAGCCCGGAGCGCCCTCTGCAGGCTGGTGGCTCACCTGCCTTGGGCCCCACCCGTACCCTGGTGCCCTTTACCTTGGGGTTCTGCCCCTGCAGTACACCCACTCTCTGGGTCTGCCCTCCCATGGGAACCCCCAACCCTCTATCTTGCCTCAGTGGCTACTGCCAGTCATCATCTAGCCCCCCCCACTCACTGGGGAAGACTGCAGTCTGTAAACCATTCATCACTGGCAAGGGGGTTTGGACCTGCTGCCTTTGCCTAACCCCAGGCTACACCTCTGCAGCCCCAGTACCTCTGTAGGCCTTGCACAGAGCCTGCAGCCTGGGGAGTTGCCAGGCTGGATCTCCCCAGCTCCTCTTGCCTTTCCCCAGCACTACTCTACTCAGGTCCCCTTCTCTCCCAGGCAGTCAGGTCCTGCTTTCTCTACAGCTAGAGAGAGACTGACTTGGCTCCTGGCTCATAGCCCTTTTATAGGGCCAGCTGTGGTCTGATTGGGGCGTGGCCCCAGGTGTGGCTGCTTCCCCAATCAGCCTAGCCTTTTCTCTCAGGAGCAGGGTATCTGCCCCACTTCACCTCCCTACTTCAGTTCACTACTCACTGTTTATACATCCAGGGATTGCATTGGTCCTTTTCCCCACAGTATTGTATTAGGAACACATGTTGAGGAATTTGTCCATTATAATCCCTAGATCTTTTTCAGTCAAGGTTATCCAAAATACAGCCCCCCATTCTGTAGGAATGGCCCGTGTTCTTTGTTCCTAGATGTACAGGAACTCCTCACTTAAAGTTGTCCCAGTTAACGTTGTTTCGATGTTAAGTTGCTGATCAATTAGGGAACATGCTCGTTTAAAGTTGTGAAATGCTCCCTTCTAACGTCATTTGGCAGCCGCCTGTTTTGTCCATTGCTTGCAGGAAGAGCAGCCCATTGCAGCTAGCTGGTGGGTGGCTGGAACCAGGGTGGACCAGCAGCCCCCCTATCAGCTCCCCCTATCAGCTCCCCACTCCCCTAAGTTCCCTGTGCAGCAGCTGTCCCTCCCCCCACTGCCATGTGCTGCTCCTGCCCTCTGCCTTGGAACTGCTCCCAGAGACTCCTGCTTGCTGTATGGGTGAAGTGGGGGGCTAATGTCAGGGTGTCTCCCCCTCCCCCCGCTCCTGCACCCCACCTACCCCATCTTCCATAGAACAGGGGGACACACGATGAGCTTCTAGGCAGTAGCTGCAGTCTCAGGTCTCAGCAAGCTGGTTTAATTAACAAGGCAGTGTACTTAAGCCTGGGGTCAGCTACTTAAAGGGGAAATGCGCATTTTTTCTCTCATACACAGGGTGTGTGTCTCTGTCTGCCCTCCCTCCTTTCCTGCTGCCTTGTAGAGTGTTGTGAGAGTTAACCCTTGAGGGCTCAGTCAATTGCTACCCTGTTTCCCCGAAAATAAGACAGTGTCTTATATTAATTTTTGCTCCCAAAGATGCGCTAGGTCTTATTT